TATCATCCCCACTACTCTATACACAAATATAGACCGTCTCTGCTTAAGGGGAAATTTTCGTGTAGATAAGTGGTTTTTAACCAGCTGTCGGTAATGTCGCGTCCTTTTAAAAGAATAAGAAAATGGAAAAATTATCTGCTCGCCTTGTCTTTCTACCTGAGTCGGCGCATAAGGCAAACATTTAATAGCACTTAGGACGTTAATTTCCAAAAGACTCAAATACAGTAAACTGTTATTTCAAAGGAAACCTCAGGCACTGCATTAATATTTTTCAAGATTTAGAAAAGTGAAAAGTAAAAATTTGTTTGTTACTCTTGAATCATAAAAATAGTTTTCTGTACTTTAAAAAATTGCTTATGATACTCAAAAAATTTCTGATAGAAATAAAAAAAAGCATGCCACGTGTTTCGAGTTTTAGGATAAACGAACCTTAGTGCACTCATACTCAGAATTAGCTGTTCTATCAAATTTGGGTATACAAAAATTGAACGTGCAATTTAAAAAAAAACAATTGGTGTCCGGATTTTCTTTACACCTTCACTTTTAAAGAAACTATTGCCGCTATATTTCACTTATTACTGGAAATAACTGAGATATTTGGGTTAGACAGATTTGGTGGGATACCCTGTGTATACTTGCAATCGTGTGACACATAGACACGACAAATGAGGTTTTCGTAATGTCGAGGGATATTTTCGAACGAGTTATTCTGGCAATCAGCCCGCCAATGTACGCGTCTTTTTCAACCGGTAGTATGCTAACGTTGTCGCGCATATTTAGAGGTTATCGCATAGCAAGTTTCAGTACTGCTTTTCTCCATTTTCTTCTATCGTCTGCGTCTGATAAGATGATCAGTAAAAAAGAAACGCAGTCAATGTATCCCACGTTACTTGGCGTTTTCTCGCTTTATTTTTACTATTATCAATAGTTGCGTGCAACAACGTTAATTTTATATCGATTAACGAGCGAGAGGAAGAGATACTGGCATGAATTTGTGGAAATTGTTTTTTAAAAAAGAAGGAAACATTGGACAAAAATTATGTGGTTTATATTTAAGGTATAAACAAATTGTTTATTACAGGTTCTAACCTATACATCGCAATCGCAGAATTTTGTAATTAAATCAGACGATTGTGAACAGTTGTAAATTACTTTTAATTGCAATTTGTTACTTGCACAATTTGACAATTGATCTCTGAAGTAAACATCCAAAGAGAAGAAGGAAATGTTTGTCTGAATTAACTCGTAACTTCAGAAAAATGAGAAGAAGCAATATTCAACATGAAATTCAAAATTACGAACTAGGGCTGTTGCAAATATTCGGCATAATCCGATATTCAAACACTTGGAATATTCGAATTAACCCAATAAAGAATTCCTATTCGAAATTATCCGAATTATTCCAATGGTCGAATTATTCAAAGTTTTAAAGCCCTAGGAACATTAAAAACTACGATAGAAAATGTCACAGAACGAGTTCGATGTTGTATCAGTATTGATACCACATATTGTATTTTGTCAGTGAATTAATAAAATTTATTATTCAAGGTATAATTATTATTCACGATATCGCAATCATCCGCTTTCTGAAACCTCTGCTCGAACGTACAACCAAAGAATGTCAGATAACATACTTTGCGCCACTCTGTGAATAGACCAATCATTCGGTCAGGCGGGAAATTTAAATTGCAAACTGGAGAAAAGTGGAAGGAAGAGAAATGATTTGCAAAGCGCAACGTCGCCGTGCTGCAGGCTGTTTTTACTTTCCTCCTTGTTAAATCTACCATGGTGAAGCAATAAATACTAATTCCAAGATGTTCTCGAGGAACGAAAGCAAGCGTTCTTGTTAGAGGAAACCTTTCACTCTGGGCAAGCACAAACGGAGAAATTATCGTGGAGCCTAGTTTGAAATTTCTCGCGTTGAAACGTGTAATCCTTTCGTTCTTTCCTTTTCTACTTTTTACTAATTTTCTTGCCCATCAATTTCTTTCTCGCATGGAAAATTCAAGTATTCTATTTATTTCATCTATCTACACACACGATTATTATTTATCTTGAACATATATGTATGTATACGAGCTTTCAATTTTTTCTTCTCGTACAAAATGGAATAGAAATTGGTGTTGCACCTTTGGATATAGGATTAAATCCACATTCAACACGGTAAACATTTCTCCTTATCACGAGATTTCATTATTCCAATGAATATATTTAGAAAATAAATTAAATAAGCAATAGCAGCAACAATTGTTATTGCTCTTTAATTGGAAATTAAGAATAGTATTGTCGGTTGTCCTGTGTACGATACTGTTCTTCATTAAATAACACGCAAAAGTGGTTTCATCCAAATAATTGAATTTATTCCGGTCTTTTATTCGATCGTAAAACATTTCGATTCAAATGTATATTTTAATTTAACTCTTTATAACGTCGTGTGACTTAGAAGTGATTATTTTATGTCAAACGACCGTAATAAATTTACTATAGTTATTCTTAATATAAATAATATAAGAATGCAATTTTGTA